GAGTGTTATGAGGAGTGCTGAACTGCGGAGATCCTACGAAAACCCCAGTATTAGAAATTGGTTTTCTGTCAAAACTAAGATGAAAAAAAATAATAATTGTATGCAGCAGAAAGTAAGTTCAAATCAGTTATGCTTTGGTATGCATTGTGTGTTACAGTTACTTTTAGAATTATTTGTTTAAACATTATTTTAAAAAAAATAAAAATTGCTTCAGCCACCATTCTGTGTAATATTTAACCAAAATGGGCATTTCCTTGATAAAATTTATCTTCAAAAAATACATTTTTTTGGTAAGAAAAAATACTTACAAAGTTAAATTAAAAAAAACCAACACAAACAACAACACTTTAAGTTTTAATTTGAACTATAGTTGCAGTCTATTTCAGTGATGAATTCTCTATGAATTCATGGAAATATTTTCACTTCAAAATCTGACCTTCCTGTCTTTTTACATTCTATATATGTATATATCTTACTTTCTCCAATTAATTCTATCTGCTTAGTGAGAAAGTATACAGTTTGGTGTCATATGAACAGATGTAATTTAAAAAGCAAGCATAAAGATTTCATTGTTCCCTGCATTGTTAAAAGTGGCTGGTTTATGGTGTTTTATGGACAAAAAATATTGCAGAAAGTGAAAAGATGCAAGATGATATTCCTCTGTGGTTTTATAGGGAAGTCCACTTACTTCTCAAAAAAAGATGACCATCCTGGTACAAAGCCAGGCTCACGAGTAAACCAAAGTAAGGTCATTAGAATGAAGAAAAATCCAGTCACCATCTCAGGATAGCTAGGAAAAAATAAATACATTTTTAAAAGCTAGTAATTAATTCCAAGGTCTATCTGAAAACGCAAGAGCAAATTCCAGAAATAAAGCAGAAACTGGTTCCAACAGAAAGGGTAAAGAAAAACCATTTGGAAAATAGAAAGTAAGATTAGTTTAAATTATGGAATTCTATGTTTGGCTTCCAGCTGAGACACATCTAAACCCAGTAAAAAATAGGCTAAAATATCAATCTGTGTTTGCAATTCAGGGGCAAGGCCTGAAGGAGAATATTTATAAATGCTTGCTTTGTATTTTCAGTATTATTGGATTAAGTTTGGTAACAAGGTAAAGCTTATGTTTCTATTCCACTCTAAACACTTTCTATTGCATTTTTGGAAAGCATAGAAAGCATAAGAGCAAAATGCAACGTAGATTAGCACAAATATTTTAAGCACATGGAAAAAAGGTGACTTAAGTATACTGAGTTTTAATTTAGAATAGATTTAAATTAAGTCTTATTTCATATTTAGTTACAGTCTGGACAACAGTCTAGATTCAGAGTTGATCATATTCAGCAAAGTCTTCTGTTAAAATTCCAGTTGAACAACACAAAAAATGTTTTAGGAAGAATGGACTTTCTGAGGCGTCATTCCTTTTGAAAGATGAAAACCTTACAAAATAGTATTTTCAAGAGAGATTTCTTGCCACCATAAACAAAGATTATGGGCAACTGAGAGGTCTGGACAGCTCGTAATGTGGAACTTTCTGAAAAACCTTTGCTAACTGGACTTCTATCCACCAAAACAAGTATGTGCCTGAATTGGGAAGGGGGGTCCTTTAATGATTTTGTTCAAAGGTAGAGACAAACTTTGACTCAGATGACCTTTGGACCTTGGTAAAAACATTAATCTTTCCTTTTAATTCCTTTTCCTTTAGAAATAAGTACATGAGTAAATAAATGCACGCTTATAACAAAGTGTTTGATTTTAGGTCATTTTTGCATTAGTGCTACTTCTATCCTGAAAAGGTGGAGAAAGAGCTGACAGTTTGAAAGCAATCTACAAGAGCCAAAGCAACATGAAGGGCAATAAGAAAGAACATTCCTGCCTGGAGAGGCAAATTCCTCAGGAAGGCGGGTTCATTTTACCTGACATTACCCAGTTTCTTATATTCTTCTTGAATTCTTCTCTCTGATATTTCTTCTCGTTTGGTCTTTTTCTTTTTGCTCACAGAACAGGTCTCTTTAAAACTGAGATAGATAACACAGTAAGAGTAGACAAGCCCACTGTGTGGGGAAAAAGAAAAAACACAACACAAGAAAAACAAACAAACAAAAAAAACCCCCCAAAACCCATGAAAGAAAGTAATAGGAATGAGGCAAGCTGAAAATTCCAGTTAACAGAGGCTGATGGGAGAAGATGTGACCTGGGCAAGGCCCCCAGGATGCTCAGACTAATGCTGACTGCTATCACAGAGCCATCCCAGGCTCTGGCTGGGCTTCCTCAAACAGCTGCTGGTGGTCAGATTTTATTGGTGCCAGAAACTCACATGGAACAACTGTGACAGAGGCCAGATATCAATAGATTTTTCAATGGGGGAATTCCCATTGGGCTTTCCAGTCAGATCAGAGGTATCCAACACATATGAGGCCCAGTCTAGCTTTTGAGCCCAGGTTTGACTCAAATATTCAGGATTCACAGTAAGGAAAGGGGGAAAGCTATGCTGAGTAACTCAATACCTTTCACAACCTGTCTTCCTCTACTAATACTAGCTGTTCCTAAGCCAGACACAATCAGTGTAGCAACAAATTGCCTCTGCCACCGAGGTCACACAATCAACCTCATGTTTGATCCTGGTGAAATATACCTGAACTTTTGGCAAGGACGTACAAGCAAAGCATATTTCATAGCTGAACATGTTTAAATCTGCTACACATTTGTATGAAAATCAGGTGAAGTCCTTAATTTATTCAAGTTGCCTTCATACTATAACAAAGTCTGGACACTCCTAATTTAAATTAAGATATTTGCAAGACCACTTTAACCTTTTCCTTTTCTTCTTTCCCACAGCATTACTTTGCTGTGCTTTGAGACACAGGTCTCTGCTTTTCTGCTTCAGCTGTACTCTTTGTCACATAGAGGTGTGTGGAGGGCTGAGAAACCTCTGCAGCTAAGCCAGTTTAAAATAGGCAGCAGCAACAGGGACTTCAGTGACTAAAGTAACATGGGACCACAATGTTGTTTTATAGTTCCTGCTGTTTTGATAACTTATTTGGCACCCTACTAGAGATCCATGCCATAGCACTGGCCAAACAATAGATTACAACCTCCCTCCATGTATCTGGCTCCTCCATGTATCTGGCTATGCCCAGAAACTCATAAGTATTTGCATAGCTCAGGATGCAGGCAGGCCCTGCCTAGTTAACAAAAAGTCTTGAACAGGCTTTCCATTTCACTTGTAAATGGGCATCTGTGTGACACTTGCTTTTAGTTCACTTTGCACTGTCCTGCACCTGTAGTTATTTATATTTCCTTGCAAATCTTGCTGTTAGACTCCAGTAAAATCCACCTGCAGTAATGCAGCTGCTGGAAGGAAAGAACTACAAGGTTTGTAATGGCCAGTTCTATAGTAATGATTCTACCCTTATCTCTACTTCGCTGGCAAAAATTGGTGAGTCCATTGTCCTTCCAATTTCACCCAGTCTAATACAGCCTAAAAAGCAAGTCTGATGTTCCAACAGGGCCAAGTAAGAATAGATTGATGACACTGGGTTTCTTAGGAAAAAAACATTAACATTATGGAAATTCAGTAAACATTTATGCACAGGCATTAAGCAGCTGTTTCAACATGTTATAAGTGTTTCTAAGCTTAGGAGGATGTGAAGGCAGTGCATTGTAGTCTAGCCCCTAAAGAAAGGTGTTCTTTAATGAACTGCAGTGAAAAGGAGTCAGAGATTAAAGAGACTTATAACCTACCAGTAATTCTCAAAAGGTTGATAATGCTTCAGTCTCTGGGATTATTTAGAACAACATTAACCAGCACGAGGTCTTGGATGCAATGTGGAATTTCAACTATATTTATTACAATAAATAAATAAATAAAATATTGAGGGTCATGTTAGGACCTGTCTCCTCTCAAGACTAAAAAAATAACAAAACAACAAACTTCTTTCAGCCTTTAATTTAGAACAGTTTAGGAGACTGGCTGAGGACATGGAGCTCTTCACCTCTAAATTAGCACTTCAAATCAAGGTCAACAACAAGCAGAAGTCATTATCATTTTGTTCATTGTCTTAGGTGAAATAAATTAGTGATGTCAGTTCATCTTACTTTTAAGAGTAAACTAAATAAAATTAAGGCCACTTTAATTCTGAGTAAGTGTCTGCACCACAATTTAATGCAGATTAAGTAATCTACTCTAAATGCACACATTTAGTCAATTTTTATTAACTTTGCTGAGTGCCTCTGCAAAGAGGATACATGGTACAAATGTACTAGGAGACTGAACCTTTTTCTTATTTTAGGGCTAAGGGATTTACTGGTATCAAAAGGCTGTGAGTCCTTTCCACTTAAAAAAGAAATATATGGATTCTGTTTATCTTTTAATTTTAATTGGTTTTACATCTATTCCATTGAGCTGAGGGCAGAACTGAAAAGTTAACTTGTTCACTCATAGTTATTTTTCTATTCATTTTTAACCTGTACTTTTCCAAAAGGACTTTTAGCAAGATTTTTTTATCCACCATGGGATCCTCATGATCATGTGAGTCGAAAAATGAGTTGAATGCATTGGAAGAGGTTCCATCAGCAATACCTAGTCACTTCATTCTGAAGCAGCAATAAAGCACACTGTTTTCTATGCAATGTAGCTAAGCAATCGGATTTCTTTCAGTGCTTGTTCTGGCAACAAGAAGGAAGTTGGACCTTACTTTTGTCATTTGCAACTGGAAAATTTTTTATGAGACATGTTCTAGAGGAGCCAAAGATGCCCTGCTTTCATAATCCATGCATCTTGAACAACCTGCACTCACTTGCAACCCAAGAACATCCAATGCATCCATAACCAAGTCAGGACCAACATGATGAGGGAGATGGGAAAACTGAACAAAAACCAGGTTCCAAAATTCACCACTTCAGCATCTGGGTAGTGGCTGCAAAGGAAAAAAAAAATGCACAAGAAGTTAGAACAACAAAAGGACAAGCATCTCCAGTATGCATAGATATCCACACATGTATACCTATGTGTATATGTATTTGCATTTGTCATTGCATGATAGAAAAAATTACATCAGTATGTATTTGCAACAGCTGCTTTTACATGTACATAGTGAAACCAATTGCTAAAGAATGTCGGTCATTGACCACAACTGACCAACAGATGAGCAGTACAGCCCTTCATGCCTTAAAGATCAAGCGGTCTGGATTGTCCAGACACCTTCAAAAATCCTCAGTTACCAGCAGTTGAATTTTGGCCCTACCTCTGTTTTTTGTTAAAGCTCTTTTTAGTGTTGGCAGAATTAAGGATAATTTCACCCATTATTTTTTTTGTATGTCTTATTGTGGACCACAGAAGTAATTACTATATTCTGCAGATTTCCAACAAAGTTGTCAGGCATGTGCATTTAATGGAATTGTCACAACACCAAGATCTTTGGAAGTTCTGTAAAATCAAAAACCTTGGGTTAAAGATGGCTTCCAAAATTATTTTGCTTTGCTACCACAATTTCAGAGAGAGATATGAAGGGTAACTTGGCAGCAGGGGCAGCAGTAGTAGATCAGAATAAAATTTGAGCTTAGATGCCTGTCTGTGCATGAGAAGTACCACCAGTCTTCTGTCAGAGGTAACATGTCTTTGAGAACCCTGAGCATATATGATAAATTAAATACTTAGCTGATCAGAGAGCTGTTTCCCATCTTCTCTGAAGCAACAGTGTAAGGCCATAGTTCTAGTTTTATTTATTTTTTGCACTACATTTTGAGCTTATTCATATAAGCTCCTCCTTTCAACCATTAACCATTACTAATAACATCAGAGTAGAGGAGGAAACAAAATTACCTTCAGATAAGACTGTCTTACAAGGGTTCCTCGAGGTATTAAATAAGCCATGGGGAAAGCCACAGAGACAATAATGACATCACCATCATTCTCATGCAACCACAATGTCACTTACTTGTTGAAGTGCTCTAAGAATATGAGGCTAGTGGAGGTCCCTATGATGGTTGTCAGTCCTCCAATGGTTGCTGCGTAGGAGATACTCAGGGAGAGGCATTTACAGACCATGTGGTCATGTCTGGTCTGATACTGATACTTAGTGCTCAGGCCCAGTTCTGAGGACTTAGGAGGCAGGACCAGTATCTGAGCCTGTGAGGGGATACATTCACCAAAGAAAGCAGGTAGTCAGAACAGCAGCCCAACTTGCTCTAATGCCGTGGTGATACTGGTCCCAGAGAAAGCAGGTTTGTGTGACGGGGCAGTTTTTTTGTCACAGGGATTAACTGGGATCAGGTCCTGGGACCTGGAATTGCCTGGTCTTTGGCAGAAATGTAGGACACACAGTAATAAGACTTCTGGCTTTGGTTTAGGCCAGCTCCAGTTCTGACTGGAATCTCAGCAGGATAGGAAAAGCTTTTGTGGTCTGCATGGCTTGGATGCCAGCACTGCAGCAGTAGGAATCCATAATCCTTGGGGTTTATGAGCAGCCACCAGACAAATTCTTGTTGGAGTTTTTGCACTTACACCGGATCAGGATCCCTAATTAGGAAAGAAGTGCTATGAGTCTCAGAAAAAGCATGAAAAAGGCTGGGCAATGGCAATATGGAATAATAAGCTGCAGGAAAATATTACTCCAAAAGCAGCTTTCTTAGCCGTGACAGGAAAGTCTCCATGTTGGTAAATCAAGTTCTCGTACTGGAAAAAAGCTACAGTACTTCAAGGCACTTCACATTCGACCCAAAGTGTAATTTAATATCAGGACAAAGGCAGCAAGTGGTTCAGATGGATTTGTTTAATTTATTAATTTGGATTTGGATTTATGTAGTAAAATCAGTCATGCTTATAGGTTCATCATCATCATGAGAGAACCCTGGCTATAAGCCCTGTAGGTTAAAAGTGAAGTAAGCATATTTGTTACAAAATAAACACTGAATGTGTACAGGAAATGGATATAAGAGGAAAATAAGAATCAAGAACAGCATAAAAGCCTTTTTTGGAAGCATACACTCAGATTCTTTGAACTGTGAATGCAAATTCATGTCTTGATATTATCCTCATTTTTCCTGGGCATCAATTTATCCCATTAAGATACTACATAGTAAGTCCAAACAGCAATCACTTCTTGGATCCACTTAAGAGAAATAGAAGTACTGGAATAAACTAAGGCAATAGAGGATTTTAAGGGCAAGACAAAAGCAGGTGGTTACTAAGACCACCCAACAAACTAGCTGAACAGTTAAATGGTCCATGCCTGATGCTGCTTTAGTTCTGAGTCAGATATTGTGTGCCAGGGGTTGTTATTTTTGAGTTGGGCTGTTTTCCAAGGAGGCTTTGCAAAAACAAAGTGGATAGAACAACAAAATAAGAAGGGAAACTTGTGATCACATTGCTGAATGTAAAGCTAACTTAGCTGTAGCAGCCACTCGGGGAGGGTCTTCTGAAAATACCTGTGCTGAGGGCACCAAAATGGGAGCAAGAAGAAGCACAGGGCCAAGCCATGACTGCTGTAAGATAATGGAGAATTATTCCATGTAACACAGCTTACAAAGAACAGATAGGAAACAGTGGGGAGCAGGTGATGTTCATGTCTGTCTTTTCCCTCACTTCCTGGGTCTAACATCTCCTTACCTGAGGTATGTGCTGCCCATTGCTCTTAGAATTCCTCGTTCCAATAGGGTTGGCTATCATGTGCACACCATTCATACTCTGTAGGGAGGCAAATGCCTTTGGATTAGCCCTTCTTTTGTTCCTAGGGGCACTTAGATCAGTATTGATGATGCTTTGTAAAGGTCATGGCTAGCGGGCTTTGAAAAAGAAAAAAGCAACCAACCACTAAAATTTCAGTTGTAAACTTTACACTGGAAAAACAGTAAGATTAAAAACAAAGCAAACAAAATCACTTTGGAAAAACAATAAGATTAAAACAAAGCAAAACCAAACAACAACAACTTGATTTTATTTTAAAGTTAACTTAAATGTTAGATTGTTAAAAAATCCTAGGTCTTTTCCCTCTGCCATGTAGGACAATCTAACTAATCCCTTACCCTTACTAAAGGTTATGACTTTGTGATTTGTTCTAGTAACTGAGGTGTCTCAAATGCATAAGCTGACAATACTTTGACAATAAAACATTAGTTCTGCACTTTCTAGAAACAGTATGGAACTGTTAGTTTTTGCTGACTGGATCTCTGGATCTCCAGCAGTAAGTACAATGAATATTACAGAGTTAATGTTCCCCAACTTGATTTGGGCTGACAGGTTAAATACAAAGCAGGACATTCTGCAATGTGTACTCTCTGCCAACAACCACTACTTGTTTGAAATAAAGGAAACAGTACTTTGTTGCAGAGGTGCGTGGATTCTGGCCTAATGATTCCTGCATTAGAAGACAGTGTAGCTCAGAGGATACTACCTATGACAATACCTTTGAGTGCATCAAGGAGCTGAAGTCAGTAGTAGTAGCACTAAAAATAAAGAGAGGAAAATATACTTTAAAAATGCCCGTTCACCCTGCTCCCTCAAAAGGCACACATCATGGGTAGGAGGAGCAACATCTGTGGGAGACCTAATTAGTGCCTACTGAAATGGTAAAGGATACCATTTAATTTGTACCTCTTAGATGGTATCTTGGCCATATATATAAAAGTTGTCATTATGTTTCACAGCTCTGTCTCTAGCTGGGTAGCAATGGAGTTCTTCCTTAGTGAAAGAAAAAAATACATATTCTAGGAAGTATATACTCCATTCTAGGAATGGACTCCATTCACAGCAGAGTGAAACACTGGGTGATCCAGTGCTATCATTGCCTTCTTCTACTCAAGTTCTTCCTCTGCCAACCTCTCCAGTGCTGTCTCTGAACACCCACATGTGTCACATTAAAGCCTACATTAAAATCTGTCCTGTGTGGCATGTGGATCATGCAAACAATCCAGTGATCTTTGATATTAAAACCAGATTTAATTCTAGATGTGCTACTTTTCTTTTCCTGACAAATTTCAAACTCTTTTTCAAGTAATACTATTTTAATAATAGTTCTGTAATGAAATATCCTGCACATACTCTTCAACGGGGCTTAAAGGGATTAATGGCACAATGCCAGACTGAAAATTTGATTTTTTTACTGCACAGAAAATATAGCTGGCATAAAAAGAGATAACAACAGAGGGAGTATTGGAGAACTCCTTAGTCTCCAGACTAATGAGAAAACTATTTAGATCCTGCAAGTTAACTTAAAATCATAAATATGTGCTGTTTGAATGAGAAAGTTTGTTTAAAAGTAATTTTTAAAGGTATAACAAGAACGTGTTTCTCTTTTATTTTGAACAATTGTGAACAAAATCAAAAGAGCTCAAGAAGGAACTGTACAATTTATTCTCAAGCCTTGTAAAAAGGTTCCTCAGGATTTAGTCTATAACAAAGTTTTAGGACAATGATTTTGTATACTCTCCAGAGTATCTTGAAATGGTGGTTAATTTGATAATTTGACAAAGAGCTTAGTCCTTTGCTTGATTTGCCATTTACACCTTACTAGATTTTACCCAAATTTGAGATCTGGTTGAAACTGTTAGTGTTTCAAACTGCCAAATAACTTTGTCTATATTAAAATAAATATTTTACATGGTATTTTTCAGGGGAGGATGGGTATTTCTTGTTGCTTGCCACCCTCTCCCCCACCCCACTCTCTATCTTGAATCCTCTTGTCAGTTCAGGTTTTCCTTAGAAATCCTCTGAAAGTGTTTTCTCTGTGGATATGTCCTGTGTACACTCCATGCTGTGCTTGGATCATCTCCATCACTGTTCCTTCAGGGGAACAAAAATAAAAATCTCTGGACATCACTATCTTATACAACACAAGCATAGGCTTCAAAAAAAGATCTTTCAAACCCTAAGAAACATTTCCCTCCGCTCTAAAATGGCCATAGTGTTAATAAATAAATAAATCTTGGGAGGCTTCAGTGATATCCAGACCATTACAGGAATCCAGTTTCTCATAAAGGCCTTCCTTGTAAGTGATGACTAAACCATTAACTTCTAAGCTTCTGCTTGCCCTTCCTGTCTCTGCTCCTGGGTTCATTTCATTGCAACCTGAGTAGGGCTCAAATCTCCAGTCGTGATGTACAAGGTTCATTCTTACTCCTCATTGATGAAGATAAGCTCCAGTGAAGGCCGGCCATGTTTTTCACTGAGACCTGCAATGAAGGAAGAAAAAGTGGCCCCTTAGGGTAAGAACTGAGCTGAGACACTAGACCACACCACTGAACATGGAAAAGCTATTGCAATCAAAAACTTGTCCAAACCCTCTCAGGTACTCTGTGACCCTTATGCAGTGTTTTATTGTGTCATATTGTTCTGATCACAACATAATTTCAGCCTGGAATCTGTGAATTGAATGAAAAGATTGCTTCTTTTCTTCCCAAATCCTTTATTTCTGGGAAGGAATTAACAAAACAGACCTTAGTGCTCTTACAAATTATTATTATTATTATTATTATTATTTTTTCTGCTCTGATTTGGGCAGCCTAGAAGGGCAGGGGTATAATGGACAAGCATGGGATTGTCACTGAACAAACATCTGGCCCTCTTCTACCTTTCCTTGACTTTTTTTTTCTCAAAAGTTTTCTTCTAAATCTTTAGAATCCTATGACATAAGAGTTAATAACCCACAAACTCCAGTGCATGCCCTAACTCAACATAGTTTCCCAATTCCAGTGTTCCCATCACATCCTGAAACTTAGTTTCATTTTTATAAGAAATATCAGAGTACAAAAAGAAAGAATATGGACCAGTGTCTTTGGCAGTACAAGTCAGATAGCTCTGACCTCAATAGAATTATGTGTATCAAGAAGTCTGGTCATGATAAATAAAGGATACAAGAATGGCGTACTGACAAATACCTATTGGCTCGTTTTCTTCCATAATGGTGCTGCCTGCAGCACTGATCACCTCATGCTCCTCCTCAGCATTCACTAGCTCCTTGAGCACTGCCTCCACAATTGGCATCACCATGGCTGTGGTGGATGTGTTGGAAAGCCACATGGAGAGCACCGTTGTGCAACACATAAAGCAAAGAAGCAACCTGGAGTACAACACAAAGAAACATTCTTGAGGCTCCAGAAATGTTAAAGGTCTCCTTGCCTAACTTTTTCATTAGTCAACTGATAAGTACACAGTCTTTTTCTTCTTGTGGGTGCCAAAACATAAGGCTGTGCATAGATAAAATGCTGCCTTGTGCTGGGAACTGTCATAAGACAACGTCAATGGAAGCTGTTTGCTGCCCCACATGGAAATCAGCATGTGATGTGAAAACCAGCAAATTTCAGCATATCCAGGATTTAGGCATTCTTTTGTATTTGCTAAACAACAGGCAAAGAAGGAATGGAAAGAACAGTATCATTAAAAAATGGGAAAACAAAGCCAAGGATTAGGGGGTGGCAGAAGGAGGATGAGAAAATGTATAAGCTTTCACACACTCTGAAAGGAAAGGTGGGGAGGAAGAGCCCCAAACCAAGCTAAGTTTTGCCCATGAAAGGGAAATCCAGAGTTGTTATTTGTTTTTCCAAGCTTTGGCTCTCAGCCTCAGACTACCCCGAAGTCAAAGGTTCACTCACATGCCTGGCTTTGCTCCAGCCATCATGACCATGCGCAGGGCGATTCGCTTGTGGAGATTCCACTTTTCTACAGAAGCTGCCACACAAATCACACCCATGAGAAGCAAAGTTGTGTTCTTGAAATATTCAGCAGCTACCTGCATTAAGGGCAAGGCAGAAACAGTGAGTTTAAAAAGCAGTAACTAGCCACACAGAAGGCATGCTGAATGAGAAGTATGGTATTGTGGACTTTTTCCCCCTAGAGAAAGAGTGACAGGGAGCTGGATAAAATGAATAATTTATAAGTAAAATTTTTCTCTCTTATCACTTTAAAGTTATGTTTACAAACAACAAGCCTCTCTACCCACTTGTTAGTAGGCTTCTCAGCTTTGAAACTATCAAGAGAAATTTTACTGCTTGGAGCAGGATGTTCACTTCCTGCAGATAGTCATACACAGCTGAGCCCAGACTGAAACAGCCACAGAGAAACCTCTGAAGGCAGCTAATTCTTATGCTTCATCTAGTTTTTCTTCTGGAGATATTGTTGTCTACCATCTTGTTTGTATTTCTTATGTCTTATTCAAATGTTGGGCAAAATGTGGCATCCTTAGAACCTACAGCTTCAAGAAAAGTTCTTTGGGATGTGCTCTCTGCACACACTAACAAAAGGTTGGGACATCGGTGTAACAATCCACAAACACTGTGCCAGAACTTTTCACAATGGAAATCCGTCTTCACTGTATCAGGAAAAAAGGTAAGGTTTGAAAAAAGAGAACTTTAATTTAAAGGGGATGAGCAAAAGTCATCAACTGGCTCAGGAAAAAATTCAGAGGCCATGCATGGTACTCCAAAGCAGTGTTCTTGAAAGTGTGGCTTGCTAAGGGTCAAGATGATGTTCTGTTAAGTGATTGCAAAAATAACAAGTGAAGCAAACTAAAACATTTGCGCACACACACTTGTGTGAAAGCAAACAAAATGGGAGAAAATGGAAGTTTTAAACAAATACTTGGAGTTTAGCTAGATTTTTTGCAGTTCATTCTGATGCAATCCTTCCCAAGTTCTTGCTGTAGTATTTTTCCAAAAACAGGATTTCTTCACTTTAAAACTGTTCCTCTAAATAAATGTAGGCACCAGCATTTGAAAAGAATCCTTAGAAAAACATCAGTGGAAACAACATTTTCCCATTGTCCTTGGTTATACCGATGCTCCTCCATATAAGTGCAAGAATGACTCTAGTGTTGTTTTGTGAAAGCTGCAGCAAGTTAATTAGGCAATTATACTTATTTAACAAATCCCCATGGTGACCTAAATAGACTTGGCCATCATAATTGTGTGCCAGACCTTTTAAATATCACTTTTTTTTTTTTTTGCTTTCTTCCACTGGTTTCTTTCTCATTAATTTTCTTTATTTTCCTGCTACCTTGTTAAGAAAAGATCTTGACGTGAATGAAAGGAATCCAGCAGCAAGCCAGCAGCATAAAGAATCTGTTGTTTTTATTTATTCCTTTCACAGTCACTTTGGAGAAACAAATGAATACTAATATTCATATTAATGCACATGTACACATATACAACTCACTAGCTCGTGTTCTTAAGCTTCTGTGAGTTATTTGTAGTTTAAACTGCTAGACAAGAGCTCAGGGTCTCTGTGACAGTCCAGAACAGCAGACAAACTACTGCAGCATTCTCAGAGCTGTTTAGTATAAAATACAGGGGGTTATTTCTGTTCCTAAATCAAATAATACATTCTCTGCAGTAGTCCTGCTGTCATTTAATTTGATTTCTGTGAGGCTGCCCTGAAATTTTACCTTCTCCACTGTGCTGCTGAATTTTGTCCCTTTATGTCAGGAAAATATGTCAGGATTTTTCCTTTATGTCAGGAAAAAAAAAATCCTGAAAATATTTAACTATGTTGGTACGGAAATGTACCCAGCTATATTACAGAGTTGTTGTACCTTTGGGAGAAATAAGGCAGGTCATAAAACTCTTGGTTCATGCCTGACTCCATCCATTTATGGGCATGCCCAGTGCCAGATTGTCTTAGAAATCAAATAAATTTATGTTGCTATATGTTGTTCTATGTTCTTATCTGTATTTCTAGTCCTTTTAAATCAATTGTGACGCCCTCTCACCCCCCAAAAAGTGAGATAAAAAAAACAGGAAAAAAGAAGCTGTAGATGAAATAAAATAAATTCTTGGCATATCATGAAAGAAAATAACATTCACCAAAACCTCAAGTAAGAAAATTCGGAACTGATCAAAGAGGTTTTTTTGTACAACTTTTGGCTTAGAACTCATGGCCACGAGGCAGCACTAAGGTTACAGCTGGGAAAAAGGACTAGACATTCATCTGAGTAGCAAAATTATCTAGTCTTAAACGGTAAATTGTAACTATATTTAGAGTATGCAGCCTCATGCCTTATACATCATTTATAATAAATGTAATTGGAAGCAAACTTCACAGTTCATCCCATAACTGCTGTTTACATGGTTTTGGAGGAGGAGAAAGGTGGGATCTTTTGATGCAATAGGTTTTGGGAATTGTTGGTGAAGCAGTAGCTGACAGAATGGACACTCCTCTTGGCTAATATGGCCATTCCTATATCTGTCTTACGTAGAAGAGGCTGGTCAGCCCAGGTTACACATTATAAGATATGCAATTCTTCTTCCCACATCTCTTATTCTTGCTAGTCCACTAAGATTAATTTTATTCAAATATTTAACTGATTAAATGATAAAAAAAGTACACACTGGTCTGACCTCACTGGACTTCATGACTCCAAAAAGTGGGTATAGGAAAGCAGGAACTAAGGCTGCTGCACCAAGCGGCACCACTTCAGAGACCCAGAATACAGCTGTCACAATCAGCACGTAGGCACAAGAAGCTTCCTGTAGGGAGAAAGTGTGAAGATTACATCTTGCTACCACACCACTTGCTGTGGAAGCCTCTGTGAATGGATTAATAGGACTCATCCAGCTTCGGGTACCTGGACTTAAAAAACTCAACAAGTACTGCATGAGGAACTCCTAGGGAACAGGTGTTTGGGCCTAAATCTAGGCTACTATTGAAAAGGCCAGTTCTGGAAGATTATGCTAGTGAAAAGTTTTGCAGCTAGGGCAAAACATTGAGATCAACGTATCCATCAGCAAAATATTTTTTCCAAGTGCATATATGGATTTATTTTTTTAAACTTCATAATCCAATATTTACCAAATGTTCAACTATGACTCCTTGGATTAGGCCTTTGGAGCTGATATTTCTACATGGCTCTCTCCAGTGTTGGACAGAAACAGGAAAACATAATTTTCAGGATCTGATGTGAGCATTCATATATGCCACAGAATGGATAAAGCCATTTTGTGGCTTCTTTTGGGAAATATTCTGAAAGACATTTTTTTTTAAACAGTGTACAAACCTACATTTTTTGTCAGTTGATTTTGTTTTCTCATGTGGTTTCTGCAGATGCTTAGGAGAAGACCACAGATCCAAGGGGATTAGAGGCAATGGGTCAGTAGAGTGAATGAAACAAATTTGCTGCTCTCCAATGTTCTGGCAGAGAAAGCCACAACAACATCATACTGGGCACTCAATAGAGACCTGGTTGTGAAAGGTGCTGTCTGCTGGATATTTTACAGGAAGACACAGACAGTCCATGGAAATCTGGTGCAGGTTTTAGATAGATATGTCTCTATTTATAGGTTCAGTGGAGTTCTCCTTAGGCTCAGTTATGCTTAGACACCTAGGGATATTTCCTTCCAATAATTACTGAAATTACCCTCAGGAAAAGGCTTTTCCTTTCATTTTCTCAAATATGAAGTTGGCTCCTGTACTGGGGCTGGCTGGCAGTTTTATGTAAGATAATAAGTCTGCCCCAATTTACACCAGCTATAGATCTATTAGTTCTTCATTATTCATTGGATGTTTCATATAAACTTATCAAGCCATGTTGATTCACAGCTCACAATGGCTATTAGAAAAGTCACTGTTCACAACTATAATTTCATTGCTTTTTCTTCCTCACTTGATTATTCCCAAAATTAAACAGCTTTCAAGAAGTCACAAAAGCAGTTCAGGCTGATCCTTGTGGAAATCAACAAGCGTCTATTACACTGCATTTTTATGCAATCAGTTTTGTGAACAAGGCAGTCAAGTCTGAAGTCAGACTATGCCGGGATATGGGTTCAGTGGAATGAATAAAAAGCTTGTATTTAAATTCATTTTTATACGTGTCCTTTTTATATTACCTCTAACAAAGAACCACAATCAGCTGTTCCTCTTTTTTGGTACAGCTTACAGCAATAACTGGCAGAACACAGGCCAGAGGAAAAATTAAGATAGATTACTATGTAACATTTGCTTTACTTGCTTATAAAGTGCAGCCAAGCGTCCTCCAGTGCTTTGGTTTAAATTAGCTGCTCTGACTCCTGTTTCAGAAAAGAGTAACATTTATCAGCTTTTATTCAAGTAATCAGGGCCACTAAAATAACTGAAACAAAGAAATCAAGAAAAATATTTTCCTTGAATCAGATAAACTCCAATTACTTAAGGGGCTATAAAGAGTATCTGTAAGACCATTGGAGAAATTTAGCTTTGGATTGTTCCTTTATGGACAGACTAGTATTCTGAATCACATAGAAACATGCATATTTGTTTCTCATCCTTAACTATTATAGAATAGTTGTTTAGATTTTCAGCTCTCCAGTACTGCTTTCACTAGTCCTCCATGATCAGCTCCTTCAACAAAATATTACAGGAAAAGATTGTATTGCAGTTGTATCTTCTGTGCTACCAAGAAAAAAATATAAAAGAGGCTAAAGAAGGTTGATTTTAATGGAGGAGATGGGATGGGTTTCTTTGGTTGGTTAGTTGGTTTTTTGTTGTCATGTCTTTTTGTTTGTTGGGGTTTTTTTGTTTGTTTTGCTTGCTTTTTTTGGTTTTTGTTGTTTGTTGTTTTATTTTATTTTTTAATATTAATGTTTTAGGAAGCATGCACTTCATAAAATGGAATTGCTATGCTGTTTGAAATTCCAAATGCTGGTGTTCAGCTTCTAACAACTTCAAGAGAACACTCAGTAAAAAATAATTTTGACTTAAAGATGGAAATTATTTTAAAAGCGAGATGACAAGCATTAGAGATTTTTTTGTAACCTCTCCTACTAACACAAAAACATTTTGGATGAGACCCACAGAGCTGATGGATTGGCTCATTACATTAGGCAAACATTAGCCAATTTGCTGCTCAGTCTCCGTTATACTTCATGGTTAATATTCCACAAAAACCAGAGCATAGGGTCATTTTTGTGACCCAGTCATAATTTGACACATTTTTTATTTTTAACTCACTGTTTTCTGCTAAGAAATTGCTAAATTTGTATGGGGTCTGTATGACATCCAGCAGCTGTCTGAGAAGGAAAATGCCTTTTAATGAAAAATAATTTATTATTTTTTTAAGCAGCACAGATGTAAGATCCAAAAGCTATTGTTTTGCCAACATTTGCAAAATGAATTTCATCCCAGCCTGCTTCCAAACTATTTTCTCACTCCAAAAATATACTTATCTTCTATTTCTCTGAGCATAGATCATGATTTTCTATTGCTTCTCTTGTGTAGCAATAAAGAAGACTGATACTGGAAATGGAATAGGAGAAGGGGAAGCTGCATCTCTCAAAACCTATCTAGGATGACCACTAAGTCTTTGTGTTTCCTGTACACCAGGCCATAATCAGTTTACAAAGAGAACTATAAAAAAAAAGAACCACATTTTTAAATGGTGTAAAACTGAGTAACAAGTACTAGGAAAGAGAGCTGTGATAATCTCCACAAAAAGCTGAATAAGCTTGTTCAGTATTTTTATTTATTTTCTAAGTGCTTTAAAGCAGCTCATTTCCAAGAGAAACCATATTAATCTCTACTGTTTAATTGAACTGAATTCATGTGTTAATTAATGGTTACCAGAGCTATAATATAAGTACTGGACTGAAGTAGTGGCTGTATAATTATAACTGTTTCACCCTTCTCACTTCTTGTTATACAACTGAAAATTACTGTGAAGTCCACCTCCAAGTCTAAAGCAGGAAAAGGAAACCATGTGATGGTTGGAGGGACTACCACCTGTCTTCAGTCAGTCCCTTAAGGGAAAAAGAAAGAGGAGCTGAAAAGAAGCCATGGCTAAATGGTCTACAATATGACTAATGTATAAAATAACTAAAATATCTGAGGATCTCAGAGTGATTGAAAAGGATAAACTCCATGTTGGAGGTTTGCCCACTTAGGGATGTGCATTGTATATCTTACTTGCAGCCACATGGGTAAGCTGTGCAAAGAAGAGGTAGTCTAGCCTCTGGACTACCGTCTTTGATCTGATCACACTAAAACTCCCTTCAGCTTGTATAAATAAAAGGTGAATGAAAGCATTTTATCCATGGCTGTTCAGAGCATGTTCTGTACTTTAGGGTCCATTCTGCTGATTTAGCACATCAGGGTGTTAACATCACCTGATGCTGCAGGTCTCAAAACTTTTGAGGGGCTATGTCCTTGAATTGGTGCAGTGTGGCTGCAACATTAGCAGTTCTAGGAGACCTTGCCCACGGCTGACTGATAGGTAGAAAAAGATGAAAAAACCTACAAACAGGCCAAAATGCTCCCATGTAAGTGATAACAATGAGGGAAATAAGGACAGACTGGAAAAGACCCACAGTTTGTACAGCACACTTTGTTTTGTTTTGTTTTTTTCTGTTTCATGACATGAAAGGTACTTTTGCATGTCCCAAACCTGCTGA